TGACGGAATATCATCACAAGCTGTCCAATCGAGTAGCCGTCTAGCATTGAAGTTTTATTTCTGTCATTGCATCACAACTAATAAAGTGATGTAAAGGTGTTCCACAAAACGAAAGAAAGGTCATTATGCAGTAATTGAGCGGATTCCAAATGAATCACATGGCATTATTGGAAATAGCAAGCCGATCCAATTTACAAGAAATATACAAGTAATTATTCTAAACAGCGACACTGCAAGTCAGATTTACTATTGATTTAACAGTGCTCATGCATTATTATTATGTAATTATGTACGTAATTTTAAGAGATAAAATTAATCATACATCAAATTATAAAATTGAGAAAAATATTCCTAAAAAATGATTGATATACTTGACATAATTATTTTTATAAATATAAAAGAATGAGATATATAAGAGTAAAAAGGGAAATAATTTTTTTTTAAATTTTTTTATTTTTTTAATAAGACATTATAAATGAGACAAACTTAAAATTTAAAAGCAACAAATTTAATGAGACGGCTGAAATAATTTTTTATACAATTATTGATACCATATTTATTGATTAATTTAAATTTATTATTATACATATTTGTTATTTCTAATATAGTTTGTTTCGCTCAAAGCCTTAAAGATTTTCATCTATTGAATAGATTTTAATTTTAATTTATCGATCAATTAGTTTATATTAAACATTATAAATATAATCATTAAAATACATTAATTTAATTTAATATATTCACAACCCTACCTGTTCATCACAGATCACTTTTTGGGCCCAACTTAACTTTGCCGTTAGTTAAGCCCGTTTTCAAGATTTAAACACTACTTTTATTGTGTTAATTTCATGTTTAAGTTTCATAAACCTTTTTAAATTGCCGACTAAAACAACCTAATTTAAATATACAAAATTTCAATAAAAATATAATATATTTATTATATGTTATAAAAAATAATATAGTTAATTAAATTAATCGATAATTTATTATATATTGTAAATATATTTGAAATCTTATATACATGTTGCTTTTTTTTAGATAGATCAATTTTATAATATAAAAAGTAACAACTAAATAAATTAATCAACATAAATGGATAAATAATTAATCATAAAAAATAATTTTTCTTTTCTTTTCTGAAAATGAGGTTTAGGATGAAATAGGGTAGATTTTAGAGAATAAATACAATTTTTAAGTATATATTTTTTAAATGTCAATATATATTAGATATAATTTTTCATTTCTTTTGTCTCTTCAGCTTCCTCTATACGTTTTCCTCTCTATTTTCTCTCTTGATTTTCAATTTTCCTATAATTTTTTTGTTCTAATTTGCTTTCGTTCTTTCATCATTTTGATGATTCCAATTGACATCCTTGTTCGTGCTTTAGCTGCGCAGATAATAGCGGAAAGAGCAAGAAATAGGCGACAAAAGTGAGACGACAGAAGTTAACGAAATTTTTGTTTGGAATCAATTGGTTGGGTAATAAATTAATATTGTATTGAGCTTTAAATTTTAAAAACTCAATAAATATGTAAAAGTTTAATTTATTAACAGATTAATATTGCTAATTTTGTTAGATAATGTGTTGATAAAAAAATTAATTTATTTAAAGAGTTGGAGATTTATTTTTTGAGATAAAAAAATACCAAGTAATTTACACATATCACTCTCACATAATATTTTTTTCATTACCCTAAATGAATCATTTTTTCTTACCATAGTACAAAAGAATTTTATTGATTAAATATTAATCTCAATATATTTTTTTATTCAAATACATCTTATTAAAAAATCATTTTTAAGTGTTGTACACATTTAAAATCTTATCTAACTCTAACAACAATTTTTACCGTATAAGATGAAAGACTGGTCCTATAAAAGGGGGTTTCTATGTGTGACATTTGAGTTAATAAAAAAAACAAGAAACATCTTTCTGCCCAAGTGTTATAGTACATTTAATGAATTCCAACTTGTGACTCGATTATCTAACAAGTCTATTAATACTAATTTATACACACATAAAAGAAGTATTAATTTTTCTTACAAATATAAAATTAAAAGTTAAATAAAATTATCTTTTAGCCTTTAATATCACATTATTTAAAAACAAATAATTATATAAACTAACATCAATACTTTTTCTAATTCATAGAATCAAGAGATCAACTTATATCTTTATTTTCTATAATTTTATTTTACTTCAATTTTTTAAAAGTGAATTCTCATTAAACATTTTTTTTTGTAACTTATTCATATATTGAATAAAAATAGTTTTTTATTATTTCGGGTCGGGTCGGGTTTCTAATTCATACATTCGGGTCAGGTTGGGTGAACCTTTATTTTAGTCGGCCGGGTCGATTTTTTTAAGTGTGATATTCGGGACGGGTCAGGTCGAGTTCGGGTTTAGGGTGAAAAATACCCAAATTGACCCGAAAATATATAATTTTACCTTATATATTTAGCAATAATTACAATAATACCCTCTATATATAATTTTTTTCAATTAAATCACTATTTTTATTGAATAAAAATATTTTTTTTATTATTTTAGGTCTGGTCGGGGTTCTAATTCATATATTCGGGTCGGGTCAAATTCAGGTTTAAGGTGAAAAATACCCGACCCAACCCAAAAATATATAATTTTACCTTATATATTTAGGAATAATTACAATAATACCCCTCTATATATAATTTTTTTCAATTAAGTATGTTTTTATTGAATAATTTTTTTTATTATTTCGAGTCGAGTTTCTAATTCATATATCGGGTCGGGTGAAACTTTATTTTAATCAAGTCGGGTCTCGAATAGAGGTTCCCTTATTCTCGGGTCAGATTAAAAAGACCAATAACCCAACCCATAATCATCCCTAAATGGGATGATTTTAACTTATAATGTTAATTAACATGATTTTTATAATGATTCATATTATTAAAAAATACTTTTTTAATGAGATATATTTAAATTAAAACCCTCTCCGAACAGTTCACCAATAATGATATCCGAAACCAGACCAATTCAATTTTAATAGCATTCACCATTGAAAATTCAATCAAATATAAATTGTTTTGCTTGTTTCAAAATCATAAATAAAAAGTTAGGAGATAATAAAGATGGATCAGAGTTCTGGCTTGAAATCTCTAACTAATTAGAGAAAAAGTAAATCGCACAGTTTGTTCAGCTTCGATCATCTGGGGAAATAATCATCACTTCCATCTTTACATTCATTTAAAAAAAAGAACAGCAAATTGAAAATAATAATATAGGGACATCTGAATGCATTGAACTGGAAGAAAAAGAAAAGAAAATGCCAGAATCTCAGGCCCAAATCAATATCGGCAACGTACAGCGCTGAAGTCGCTATTTAATCTAAGCGCAACAGTGACTCTAATTTATTGCCATCTTTGAAATATGCAACCATTTTATTATCATGTAAACAATGGAAGAATCAAAGAAAAAGATGCCTCAGAAAATAAATTTCAAATGAATGCATCAGAGATATTAATCTCAGATGGTACGGACAAATTTGTGAACATCACAGGCAAACTATTCGGGGAAAAAAAGAATCAGAATCATAATAGAACAAAACTCAAACCAAAAATACCAGAATAATTAAAAGAAGAAGAAAAAGAACGACAGAGTATTAGATGCACTGCACAAATGATAACGAGACGAGGCAACTGCCTCACAAGTTTTGATGACAGGAGAGGGATGCCGTGTATAAATATGGGAGACGATAAACCCTAATTCACTTGAGCTGGATCGAATTACTTCCTTGCCCCTTATGAGCAAATGAACTACAAGACTAGTCTTGTCAATGAATAAGTGTGTAATATGGAAAACAACCTAAAATAAAAAAGGATAAAGTACACAAATGGTCCCTTAATTATAGAGTACATCTTTTTTGAGTTTCTCGACTATTAAAAATTATAAAATGATACACTTACTATAAAACATTGCTTTATTGAGTCCCTCAACTATTAAAAATTATAAAATGGTCATATGACTATTCATATGTTTCAAATTCATCTTTTTTCCATTAAGAAATTAACAGTCGTCTAAGGTGAATGTTAATCTACTTACTAGGATATGATAAAATCATATTTTAATGATGTCTACAGGCATAGTCGTTGTTTCACTCATTTTTCTACAGTCGTCGTTATTGAGGAAGACGGTGACGAGTTAATGGAAATCATCCTAGATATCTAAGACGATTCCATGGTTGTTCACAATGTTCATGAAGTCGTCGATGGAATCAAACATGTTTCTCAGGAACTGAAACATGTGGTCTCGAGACGACCTTCAAATAGGAGATTCAACTAGACAAATTCTATTGTAGGCCATGCATTGCAATGACTCAAGTTCATAGTTACCAAAACAAAAGTGTCCTCAAATGGATGGTCTCATGTCTTGAAATGGTTTGACGATTTGACTTCCTCGACTAATGGCCTTGTCCATCGTTCCCGATTCGATGAATGTATTAGTACATCTATCATGATCCATAAATTAAACAAGCGTGAAGTTTTTTTGTCATTTTCTGTTACGAATTTTCTCTCTCTTTGTGATGTAATAGGGATGATCTAATCTAAAGAGTTCGCTGGTGAGATGTTTCAAGCACTGGTTTGACAACATAATTTAAATGAAAACTCGATCTACAAAATACATCTCAAACATTTATGAGATCAAATTTATCATATTTCAATCAGCAAGTTAACATTCATTTTAGACAACCATAAATTTTTTTAAACAAAAAACGACTAGTTTAGAGTATATGAATAGTCGGGTGACCATTTTAACTTTTAATAATATGGACTCAACAAAACAATACCCTATAATTGAAGGATCATTTTGTAACTTTTAATAGTTGAGGACTCAACGATGAACATCCTATAGTCGAGGGACAGGGACCATTTGTGTACTTTACAAATTGATAACTCGAAATTATTTTCTCGTTGAACAATGTACATGAAAAACAATTGAATACACAAGCAAAGAAAGAAAAGCATATATAAAGGATAACACAGAGCGTGGGGCAAAGCTATCGTAGCATTTTGTTTCGTTCATCCAAAACCATAAATAAAGTTAAGTAATTGGAAATTAAATGAAGAAATTGTTTATGAATCTCTCCATTTTCAATAATTGGTTCTTCGTCCTCGTTTTTAATCCGGCCATCCTTACTCAATTCCCGGTAATGAAGCGACCATAACAGAGCTTTTTCATACGTCGTTCTGAAACTCTGGTTATCGTTCCACCGCCGCATGAACTTATCAACCTAATAATTTTTCAAGGTTGGATAAATTTGCAAGCAAAAAAAGTTAGTTTTCTAATAAGTTTTAATGAAAATTAGCATTAGATTCATTCAAACATACCTGACTGCTAGAGAGTTGTTCAAGGGCTTTCACATCTTTCCTTCTTGCTAGTTCATTGGCATTGCGTATCAATGAAACATATTCGTTGTAGTAGCCATTCTAAATAAATAAGGTTTATATTAGTGGGTGCGAAATTATTTAAATGCTTACTTCAATTGTGTAATCGGAAATTAGTTCCGATGAAGGATCGAATTATTCATCTTAATCGGATTTGAATAAAAATATTAGAATCGAAAATAAAAGAATAGCCTACCGCTTCATCTTCTTCCTTTCGGGCACTAATAACGAAGTCACATAGGTCAGACTTTCTATTGATTAGAGCCTGGAATTTTTTTATTAATTCATCATCTTCTTTCTTTAGAGCTTCAAGTCCATCTTCTAAGCACTTGATTTCAGCCATCACTTCATAACGTTCGGGTCTCAGTACATCTGGTATCTTATTTAAAACCAGCATTTGAGATTCCCATTGATTAATATCAGTATTGATTTGGAGAAGGAAAACTGATGTAAGCAAGAAAAATGTGTATGAATTTATACTTCGATTTGCTCCTCCATGGCCTTTATGGAACTTGAAGGTTACCAAACGTCCCTTTTGCAGCAGCAGCCTTGGCTTCGTCAAGTCTGTCTTCGATCTGTTCCACTTGTTTCAGTATCTGCTCGAACTTCTCTATTGTTGCTCTGACTATACCAGAAGCACTGTTGAAGGTGAAAGTAATTGGCATCGGATTACAGTTGCTGCTTAAACCATAAATTTATATATAACTAATGTGGTTTGTATCTTACAGGACGGGGAATCTCATTGCTGAAGCTTGACATTAAGAATCTTGGTTGATGGGTTGAAGAGGAAGAGCCATTGACATCGAGCTTATCTACAGCGGCTCGCATAATACCAACCACCATTGTCGTCCATTCAACGCCCGTTTTAAGTAGAGCATGGCGCCAGTTTTTCCTATCTAGCTCTGAATAGATTTTGTCATGTGACTGATTCACAATGATCAAAACACATATAAAAATCATCAATATATATATATATATATGTTTTGAAGACATATACCATGATTTCCATGATTTTGTCATCGACAACACGCTCCTTCTCTCGGTCCAATTGTTGACACTGCTGATCAGCCCACCGGAGTTTTGAGTCCTTTTCTGGGTCTTTGTATGGCCAGAATTTGACGAAATAGAACTGAAGGATCTTCCTTGACCCACTTTCTCCATTGAACTCTGTGCTACTGCTGCCTTCATCTTCTTCTAATGCAGAAGTTGAAATCCAATTGCTTTGTATTGGCTCTTTAGACATCTTTAGTGCCTTTCAGATTGAGAGACAGATTGTGAACACAATTGCAGAAATGAAAGGTTTGACTATATAAAACTATGGTCTGGTTGAAGGAAGCTGCTCTCTTGCACCCCACGCCGTGGGAGCTGTCTTGCGCCCCACACAATGCTGGTCAACGCTTCAGATGTAATGTATATAATACATCAATTTTGTAAAAATATATTGGAAATCAATCAGCAGATGCACATGGAAATGGTTGACTGAAGCCACGTAAACGAATAAATAAGCATATTGGAACCGGACAAGATCAGTGTTGATGTGTGTAATGAAATAGGATGTTGACCTTTCTTTCTCATGATGCCGGAAGTTATGCGGGAAATGCTCTTTAGTTTGAGCAGCAGACAACAACCAGCCACATGACGCAACCATTAGCAGATAAAATAAATACAGTCAACTCTGTAACATCTACTTAGGATTCAAAAGGAGGGTGAATGAGATTAACTTTAAATTTCCCAATGGGAACGAAAAAAAAAGTAAGTGCTAAAACGGTCAAACATATATAAACTTCACTTTCTCCTTCCTTTTGTCTCCTACCAAGTGCTAATTTACTACTTCAAAAGCCCTCGCTAATTTTTTTTTTCGAGATTAAGTTATGATCTTTGACAATTTGCAACTGAGTTTCCATTAGGAGCTCATAAATTCTCTCAAAATAATAACTCGCTCAAGAATTTTGCAAACAAATTTGCATATTAAAAGTTGAGTGTTGAGTTTTGTTTTCAAAGTGAGAAAATGTTACAAGTGCGCACGAATAAGAGGAAGATTAGGGTAAACTCTACAGAGTATGCTGGAACTGGAAGGCAATTATGTGGAAGATCAAAAAGCCTCAAATAAAATATCCAAAACTATTTTTATAACTCCGTAAGGCTTTTTTTAGCGGGATGAAAATTAGAGGATAGAAAAAATAATTTTATTTTATTAGTATACTTGGTAAGAAGGATGAAACATTGAAAGAAAATAAGAGAAAAGAAAATCTAACTTTAAAAATACATGATTTTGAATTAACCTACATTTCTCTCCTCTTAAGCTTGGTTTCTTAGTCTTCCCGATATGAAACTTTGTTTCTAAGACTAACTTTCAGGTTTTTAAAATTTGAACTGTGCATAGATTGATTCGTTAAACTTTCTTCACATAATACACAAACAAAATTCATTAGCCTAGTAAAATACCCATCTAATAAATATCCCTCAGAAAAAATAACCCAAGTTGGGGAAATACAACATCTGAAAGGAAAAAAAAGTTTAGGGCAACGAGGTGAGAATGAAAGACCAAACATGCAGTCCTCAAGTTAAGTAAAATCTAAAGGACATTGCCAGCACATTGTTCTTTAAATTTATAAAATAAAAAATTCAAATCTCCATATACCAAAAAGAAAATAATTAAGGCAGTCCTAGGAAAGCGCTCTTTTCAAACAACTACATTTCGGCAACATGAAAAACATTAACATTTCTCAGATGGCAACCGCAATCCTTCCAGCTACTTGGTCCAGATCCCGCTGGCCGCTTGATGTGATTCTCCTACCACTGATACAAAGAGTATGAACTTTAGTTGATACTAACAATAACAGACGTCAGTAATATGGCTATTATTCACATAAAATTCTACTTAATGTCTAAATATATGTCCGGACATAAGTATCTGAAAGAAAATAAAAATTATGAATAAAAATGTTGCTAGTTTAAAACGTACATAAAACAACCGAGTGGCAAACACATAGGAGTATAATGTATTGCAAAAGTAATCTACCGGGAAAAAAAGCAACTCTTAGTAAAGGGTATCTTGTTCAAAAATACGTTAGTTCATCATCTGTGTAATAACAGATTCTACTTAAAACGCTATCAGCTCAATTGTATCTTGGAAGCATATTAAAACCCAAATCAAAGTGTCATACAAGTTTCAAAGTCCTCCTGTCTAACAATATTTTCTTTATGTTTCATTCTCTAATTTTCTAGCACAAAGCATATACTATCCGAAATCAATACTAAGAGTTATCATAGATAAAGTTACATCAGATGTTTGTTTTCTTGTTCTATAAATGAAGGATCCGCACTTCAAGCTTAATACTTCCCTCCAATTACAACAGAAGAATTGTTATGTTGAAAATAAATAACATAATTAGCAATATGTTTACTCATAAACGGTCATTGTCGGAGGGAACAACTATCTTAACAGCACCATATATTAATTTCCAAAACATCCCAAAATTATAAATGACAAACAAAATCATAGAACAGTATACTAACCCTTTAGGATCAATATCAATGATGTTGACATTCTGCAATTGCTGGAGAATATGACGAGCAACAGATCCACTGCTCTTGCAGAAATGGCGTGGGCGACTACCGTTTCTCTTAGCCCCTCCGTAAATCCTTCTAAAGGCACCAACACCAAGACCTCCCCTCAAGTATATTTTCCTAGCCATGGAAGCTAGGAAATAACACAACATCACGCTCATATTAAATCATACAATGGCTTATTAGTGTTTACATATTATAAGAAGCATATCATATGCATACCAGCTCTGACATAGTACCAATCGGGGTCATAGGGAGGAAGCTCCTTCAGTTTACCAGTCTTCACAATATCAGTCCATGGAGGAAGCTCAATCTGGTTTTTTATTTGAACAAAAAAAAACACTTAAATTTAATATAGTTTTGTAGAAAGTGAGCATAAAAATTTCTTTCAAATATTAACGAAATGCTCTGATTTGCATCTCTGACAAATTAAAAGAAAATAAAAGGATTTGCTGGAAAAAATGGTACCTTGCCGGAGCGCTTGAGATGGGCGGCGTAAGCCTTTACAAATTCGTGGGGTGAAACGTCCTTAACAGTTCTGGCTGCTTCCATTTTCGCTCTTTTCTTTATGATACCTACCGCTGCAACGAATCACTCCTGTTGCGGCTTGCGATGTGTTTTCAGCAGACTAAAAGGAGAAGAAAAAACGCATCATATAACGAATTAGGGTTTAAAGTTCTGACCCTTCTATCTCCGTTGAGGAAATTACCTATATAGCCTTTCCTACAACTGCTTCCATTTTTTCTACTTTATTTCATTTTTAGATACGGTATAGGCCGGGTCAAGCCGATTCTAAAAAACTTCCAAGTTCAGGCCTAGGCCAGCCCATCTAAATTACTTTTTCAATTTAAAAGTAGTAAAATAGTAAATTATAATTTTACATTAAAAATTCTTTATTTCAAATTATTCAAATTATACCATAATTTTGAAAGAAAACATTTTTTCTTTATTCTTTTTCTTTAGAAGAAAAAAATACTCGCTTGCTCCTTTCTCTAACTTTGATGGACAAATAACGATATTAATTTTGGTATTAGTTGTTGTTTACTGATATTTAATATTATTTTTAATTTTTATTAAAAAAGTTATATTTCATTTTCTTTTAATAATTATGTTTGTATGACACACTTTTCTTTGTCTTTATTGACACGTTTTATATGTCTTTTGTGCATGATTTTAGTTTTTTTACCGATCGTTTGATCTTTTTTTTTTATTTTTTCTCATTGTTAAATTTGACATCGCCACATGTCACTTATTACTTATCTTGTTAATCTTCTGGGCTTTGGATCCTCGGATTTATTGGATACGTGATTTGCATTTGTATATAGTTTTCTCACGATGTTTAACTTTGATTTGTATTTGTTGGTGGTCTTTCAATAACTTGATTCTTTGTTGTGATTTGTTTTTCGATGGAATCATATATGTTCTTATTTATTTTTTTGTTCAAGTTTTCTTGCATAGGTATTTTCGTCTTTTTCTTTTATATGGTACATGTATTATCTTAAATGACTAGTTTTATGTGTAAATGATTATAAGAAAAATTCATAATTATTTATTTAGTTTATGATTATAACTATAAACATTCGTTGTAATTTTGAGATTTTCAGTTTTTTAATAAATTTAGCTACTTTTATTGTCAAAAGAAATCAGACAGACCATGTTATTAAAAACCTTTGTTTATATCTAGATCAAACAAACGGGATATACAATCCATGAACAAATTGGATTATTTTTAATAGTTCAGAATAATTACATGGAAGTGCGGTTGATTGGTGGACCTTTGGGATCTTCTTGTACGAGCTTTTGTTTGGTAAAACTCCTTTCAAAGGGTCCGGGAACCGTGCAACACTCTTCAACGTCGTAGGGGAGCCTCTGAGATTTCCTCAATCACCCGTGGTCAGTTTCTCAGACAGAGATTTGATAAGGGGCGTGCTAGTCAAAGAGCCACAGCAGAGATTGGCATACAAGCGAGGCGCAACGGAGATTAAACAACATCCTTTCTTTGAAGGCGTGAACTGGGCTTTAATCCGTTGCGCGAGTCCACTAGAGATTCCAAAACCGGTCGAGATTGAGCGGATTCCGGCCCGGACATCATCAGCTGGTAATAAACCTGCTGTTCCTGCTATCAAGGATCAAAATAACTATCTGGAATTTGTTTTCTTTTAATTATTCTCACTTCTCAGAACCATTTTCCTTGTTTTTATTTATTTATTTCAGAAACGTAGAATTTATGAAGAGAAAATAATCTCAGTGACCGAAAATTTCTTATAATATACGATTTTAACCAACTTTTTTACGATTTGCCAAAATGACCAACAAAATCGCAATGCGATCTCTAAATCGCAACGTGATCTCCATTATCGCAATTCTGTTTCTAGATTCGCAACGCGATTTTGACCATCATATTGCGATTTTCGAAATCCGCGTTGCGATTTTAGATAATCGCAATACGAATATGTAAATCGCAATGCGAATATGTAAATCGCAATGCGAATATGTAAATCGCAACACGATTCGGACTATCACAACGCGATTCGGGCTATCGCAACGCGATTCGGACTATCGCAACGCGATTCTGACTATCGCAACGAGGTTCTTACTATCGCAACGCGATAATACGTGATCGCAACGCGATTCTGACTATCGCAACGCGATTCTGACTAACGCATCACTGAATTTCAAATTCGCAACAGATTTTAGTTTCGCAACACGAATGGGTATATAACTACTACGCAGCAGCATCAACTCATAACCTAAATCCCTAAATCGCAACTCATTCCATCTTCATCTATCACTCTCTCCGACGACATCCGTTCCTATATCCAACGACATCATTCCCCATTCGGCAACAGGTTTTAGTTTCGCAGCTCATTTGTTTAGTAAATTAATTTACAATAATGAAATCATCTAATGTTGATCATGTTTGGATAAATTTGTGTTTTGGAGGGTCATGGGAGAATGTTCATGTGTTTTACAATATATGCCTTTACCCATGAATCTTCAACTAAAACTGTCATTAAAAAAGTTAACTTATGAAACTCTAATGTTACGTGTTGCAAATAAATTGAATTTAGAGCCCTTAAGTGGATTTAGGCTATCTTATCAGAGAAAATGTAAAGTTTATTTGTTAACCGACAATGAAGATGTTGAACGATTCATTGTTTACATTAGTGTTTCGCAAGATGATGTTACATTGTATGTTGTTGAACCTAGAAGTAGTGAAGTTAGGTCAGTAGCGGGTAGTAATCAACTAAGTTTTTCAACCCCAGTTTATGGTGCTCAAAATTTAATGGTTCCACCACAATTTCATCACCAAGCAAATTTTGTTTCACCACATTTCCAATACCAAACACAATCTCAAAACCCACAACCTTTCCCTAATCCAAATCCCAATCAACTTTCAGCACCAAATTCCGGTTTTCGTATAAACCAGTTAGACGATGATGAGCCAATAGAAAAAATTGTGAGTACTAGTCGGTATTCGAAATTTGATCTTGGTCAATACCCGAACTTTGATCTTGGTCAATACTCGGATTTTGATGATGTTTCAGAAGAAGAAACAGACCCTACGTGTAATGATTTTGATATTGGTCAATATCCGAATTTTGTTGATGAAACAGCCGCTGTCGAGGAAGATGTTGTTGATGATAATGAGGAGGAAATTACGACTGTGAATGAACATGTTGAACATCCATTCTGTAATTCATATAACCCTGAAGAAGAAGAAATCCCCGAAGAAAATGCCACGGGAGTATAACTGGAATATGCCAGAATTACTTCAGATACCGGAAGAAGAGTTGGTAAAAGTAGCAGTTGATTGTTACACAAAAATTATTTGTATCAAGAAAGATGATTGTTTTGATACAAAGGAAGACTTGAAGATAGCTTTGTATACGAAAGTGTGGAAGATGGCTATCAACTAAAAGTTAACAAATCAAGCAAAGATCGTTTCGAAACAAGGTGTATGATTGACAAAAACTGTACGTGGAGTATGATTGCAAAGAGGATAAAAGATTGCGAAATGTTTCAAGTTAGGACTTTTATTGATAAACATACATGTTAAAGAACCCAAATTTTTCCTCACCATAGACATGCAAACAAAAATGTGTTCGGTGGTTTTCTGGCTGAGTTAATGTTTTTGAATGGCAGGGTATATCGGGGACATGAAATTATGACTGACATGAATGCTCGGTTCAAGATTAGTATCTCATATTCTCAAGCTTGGAGAGCCAAATGTTATGCCTTGGAATTGTTGAGGGGGTCGCCAGAAGCATCGTTTGCCCAACTGTCGGCTTATTGTCACAATTTAAAGCTGAAAAATCCTGGGTCGGTAACTCATATCAAAACAGATAGAGATGGACGCTTTGAGTTGCTGTTTATCGCCATTGGTGTTGCGGTTAGTAAATCAATATAATTTTGTTGACTCATTTTTGTTAGTTACATGCATTTCACATTTAAATGATTATATTTCTTGTGTATATGATTTTGTAGATTCGTTCGTTTATTACTTGCATGCGCCCAGTTATTATAGTTGACGAAGCACATTTAAAAGATTGATACCTTGGAGTAAACTTATTAGCAGTAGCCATGGATGCTAACAATGGGATACTATAAATAGCTTACGGGGTTGGCAAATCTGAAACCGCTGATTCATGGACATGGTTTATGGGGCATCTTAAGGATTGCATAGGTCCTATTAGCAATCTGACAATCATATCCGATAGGGCAAACTCAATTGACAACGCTGTTAGAAGGTGTTTCTCAGATGCTTTTCATGGACTTTGTGGTGTTCAGTTATATAGAAATCTAAAATCAAGGTCTGATGGTATAAAAAATCACAAATGGACATACTGGAAGGCTGTAAAAGCTTATCGGGAAGTGTATTTTAATAAGCATATAAATTGTTTAAGACGTGTTTTGCCTCAGTGTGCTCAAACACTAGAAGATGTCGGGTTTGAAATATGGTCAAGAGTACACCAACTTGGAGTAAGATATGGTTTCATGACGTCTAATAGTGCAGAATCAATCAACGCTCTAAGTCGTTATTCCCGGAAATTACCCATTACTATGTTAATGGAGTTTTTTCGAGCCTCTATTCAACAGTGGTACTACAAGAAAAGAAACCATGCAGGTATTACTTCTTTAAATTCGTAACTTATCATATAATTTACTAAGTATTATTTATTTAAATTTACAGGAACATTGGAACATCGTGTTACACCATGGACAGAAAAAAAGATAACGAAACGTGTTGTGAAGTCAACGTCATGGAGAGTTGAACCATGTTCAAACACTTTGTTTAAAGTACTGGATAATAACTTAAATGGACTTGTCAATCTAAATGCAAAGACGTGTAGTTGTATGAAATGACAAACATCTGGTTATCCGTGTGGCCATGTTATAAAAGTTGCTCTTCATCTAAACCAAGATGATTCAAGCGCATATGCTATGGATTGCTACACTACAGAAGTATATCGACAGACTTATGCCGAGATTATCTACCCTATTCCACATCCTTCTGAGTGGGACATACCAGATGACTTACAAACAGTTTTGCCACCAGCCATGGACAGAAGGCTACCTGGCCGACTAAAAGTCACGATCGTATACCGTCTAAGGGTGAAGAGAAGAAGAGATCGACAT